TGGAGATTCTCCTTGGCTCTCTTTTTGTCATTAATATATTTGTGAAAACATTTTTTTGTTGTCTCTAAACATCTTTAACATCCTTTCCTAATCTTCTCTTCTTTATACCTATCAATAGACACTAGCAGCATTTTTGTGTTGCAAACAGCTTTATTTTAGCTGTGGTATTTTGACTCTCCACTTAATTAGGATTAGCTTTAAGTTGAAAAGAGCTGTCTTTGATTATGGATTCATAATTTTTGATTACTTAAACTATCCTTCTTATTTTCATTATCATCTACTTTTGCCCTGACCCATAAGTCCCCAAAAACAACTGAATGATTTGAAACGAGGAACACACAGGGGGTTTTTTCCTTTGTGTTTCATACAAATGACTATTTGGTGGTATTCTTCTATCTGTACTAAGTGCAATCCATTCATAATCCCACCAGGTTACATATGCAACGAACGACTTATAGTCCTAGTAATTTATGGTACTTTTATTTATCATCCTAAAACTTAAACCATTGTCTTGCATTGGGGCAGTGCCGTCCATATCTGCAGATGAACTTGTTTAGAGCTGACTGTATTAGATGTCCAGCAGATGTCTCTTTTTAAAAATAAATAAATCTTTTCATATATTAAATGGATACTTCCAGAAGAACTGGTCCTATTTTCTAGTTTGGTTTTGATCACTTACATTGGCCATCTTCCAGGACTTTGAGAGAAATCGCTGATTCATATGGTATGAAACTTTCATAGATCTGAATTGTATGGTCGTCTTTCCCTCCTTTTCCTTCATCTTTCTCTTGCTGTCCTTTCAGGTTGCTTCCAAACTCGCTATACGAATGATGGCTTTAACTTTTCTTGCTGTACTTAACTTCTCCTTTCTCTCCCAAGCTTAAAATCTAAAGTAAAAACCAAACAAACCTATTTCATTATTTCCCAGCACTGCGAATGAGATGGTGCACAGTGAATGGGCAGTGAGGATGAGGGATAGCAGGCTAATTTGAGAGTTGGGTTCATAGTTGCCCTCTGGATAAACTTCCCACTATCGTCCTTTAAATTTTAAAGCCTCAGATAAATTTTTAATTAGTAAATACTTGTAACTATGTCGGACCTGCTCTTGCTGTGCTGGAGGTGCTGTCCTCAGGGTCAGCAGACTAGAGTGTGCAAGTGTTCTTCAGCTGCCCCTGCAAAATCCAGCCCTTTGGCTTAAGCTGCTGTGGGAAGTGGTTTCAGAGGCTGTTAACCTTTTCCCTGGTCTCACTAAGGGATGCTCACTTGTTTCTGTTCCATTCACTGCTGGGGCAGTGATCACCTCTGCCAGAGGCTGCAGTTGGAGAGGTTGTAATGTCTTAAACTGCTACAGCTATTTACTACTTAATGCATGTCAGTGCCCCAAAGTCTTTTGCCAGTAGCCTGCAAAGAATTCATGCAACCTAAATAACCATGGGGCTGTCTTCCAATGCAAGGTTGAATTTAAGTTGCATTAAATAGCACGGAAGCTAACTTTGGTGATATTTTTTGACTTTTGAATACTCAAGCAGAAATCAGCTCATGTCCTGCCTACATTGTTAATGCAAACTGGAGAGGGTGCTTAAAAGGAGAGTGTCCATCCTCCCCTCCCCCAACTGTTTCCATTGATGGGTGTTTGCACTCGCAACCCCACACATCTTCTGTTTTAGCTTTTCTGGAGGCTGCTCCCTGTCAGCATGCTTCTTCTGCTTTCTTTTTTCTCCCCATCATCTATTTGCAACACCTTGTCTCCCTCTCACTGGAGCAGAATGTGGCAGTGCTTTGGTTTCCTTGCACAGTGTCACGGTGCTAACAAGACCCTTGAAATACCACCCTTCAGCTATGCACAGCCGCTTTCAGGCTTGCCCCAGCCTAATCTGGATCTAGCTGCTTAATTGTAGTAGGATCAACCACACTTATCTCACCAATAAAATCAGGCAAACAGAAGACATGACAGAGGGAAGGAAGAAACAGTCATTACAGCTGTTGTGAAGTGGTCATGCTCCTGACCTAAGCACGTGTTTTTCATGCCTAACATAAAACTCTTGAGATCATGCAGGCACAGCAGTTCAGAGGGGGGAAAAATGCTTTGATTACGTTTGTTTATTCAGCCAAAAATAAGAGCAGGAGTTACCTTTTGGGGTTTCCCCCTCCATTTGTGTTGTGTATCAGAGTTCAAATCTGCTGTGAAGTGATGAAGATACGTGTGATCTTTTACAGAAAATGTAACTTAATTGAATGTCTGTTTGTTAGACATTTTCTGTAAAAGATCACACGTAACTTAATTGAATGTCTGTTTGTTAGACACAATTATAGTCCCTTGTTTCTGAAGTATTCTTAAGTTATTTTTTTGTTACGGCTTTCATTGATGTAGAGGAGCTGTGTTACCTCTTATACCAAAGCTTCAGTGAATTACTGGTACAGTTTCCCTCTGGACTGATGGCAGTGTGAACCTTGAAGATGTAGGAGAAAGTTGACTTGAAGAAGGTAAGAGTGAAGAGGGACAGAAGCAAGGATTTCTCCCACATGACTGGTACCAATCAGAGTAAAACTAACCTTTCACGAGCGCTCAGCTTCAATGAAGTGTGATTACAAAAAAGCATTATATACCTTCTAGGGAATTCCCCCTCACTGTCGCCTTTCAGTATCGTTTCAGTTGGCCAGAATGCCACGCTGACAGGCAAGAGTTCAAAATGTGAATATTTTGTCTGATACAATGTGCTGAACAGCACTTCTGAGTGCAGATGGAGGCACAACTGGCATTTACGCAGTTCCATAGATGTGTATTTTGATAATCCTGTAGTATTAATGATAACTCCAGGCACCTTGTCTTAACAGTATTTATCATGAGCTGCTCAGACAGTAAAGCTACTGAACGTTTTATCTATTTGGTGAATTTCTTGTTCTTAGTGTGATATGTGAATTAGTATAGGGTTGGGATAGTAAGCTACTAAGTAGGCGTACCACTGTTATGAATTAATCTCTATCCCTTCCAATTCTGATCGCTTTTACTGAATATAGTCTGTGGAAATCTTTTTCTCTCCTTTCCCCCCCCATTGTTTAAATTGCTAATGAGTCTATAGCATGAGGTTAGAAACTCCCTTATTGCCAGATTGTGTTACAGTAAGTAGTATTTTTGTGATTCAACTCAGCAATACCCACACTTCTTTCTGACCCAAATGCATGCTGAAAGAGTGAACCTGCTAATTGGGCAAAGGATGTGCTTTGTGTATTTTTATTCATTGGGTCTAACAGCCTGCACGGCTGCGCTATCGTATTTCTGCACGCTTTCCTTCAGAGATGGGGAATGGGGAACTTAATCATCCTACTTCTGTCCTTCCTCCTCACACCCAAATAAATGTTGAGCAGTTGGCATTTTAGCTGGAGCTTCTGATATAGGTAGTTGTTTGGCACTTTGGTACCAAACTTTCATTAGATTAACTTGGGCTAATTTGTTATCTTCCTTGCTAATGTTTGGACTCTTCTTTTATCCAGTAGAAGAGTAATTTTGGTGTTACCTGTGGCAGTTGCTATTGGAGCTGTTAAATTATTTCACAATTGTTGAAACTTTTGCAAATTGCTGGAACCACCACGTTTTTGTCAAAATGCTTCGTTAAAGGATCTTGAAGAGTGTTGGTGGGGTACAAAAGACAGCTGCTGCTGGGGATAGTGGTCTTGTTGCTTCCTCCTGACTCTCATATCCACCCTCTCCTTTAGACCCTTTTAGGTCCCTGCTTTCATTCAGGAGGTGCCAAGGTGATGCAGTGCTAGTGAGCTGATCAATGGCAGTGTACCTGTGGGAGAGGACGCTTGCAGTGCCCATGCATTGCCTTGGTTGGAGCAGGGGCAACGGAGGAGCCATGTGTCTGTGGTACCGTGGCCACTGTGAGGGTGGGACTTGGTGTGGGGGAGAGCCTGAGACCAGAGTGTCTTGTATGTGCAGTGAGGTGCTGCTTTACCATTTTGAAGTGCCTTTTATGATGAGAAAAGGCAAAAAGGCCAGCAGAATATTTTTTTGCATAATTGTAAATGCGATAAACAGTGGTATCTGTGGACGATGAATTCTCATTGGGATTCTAGAGCTCAGGGGTCTTTCAAAATGTGTGGACTGCTGCTTTGACTCAGGGATCAACGTGTCTGATGCAAAGAGAGAAGTGTATGGGTGGTGGAGGTTTAAAAAAAATTCCTTAAAATACTCCATGCCTTAAACTTTGTGCTTCACTGCAGGCACTGGAAATCTGAGCTCTTCTGATGGGGCATGTATGTCATCTTTGTAAGCCACCTTTGAGCAAGGGAGATCTTCCACAGTGTAACAAAATAAGCAGTCCAATCAAGAATGTTTTCAAAGCAATTTTGTGGCTTGCTGCAGCTCTCACCTACTTTCCCTGCCCTGACCTCTTCATCTTCTTGTCCCATACTGTGAGAATAACATCACTTTTGCTGCTGGGGATGGGTTAGTAACACAGGTCCCGGCTGTGAGGGAATGGTTGCTTAGGAGCTGTCACCTCTGGTGTGGCTGGGGCTTGGCCTTCTGCTGGCCTGGGAGCAAGGAATCAAGCCACCGTCCCTTACTGACTTCCTTCTTGCCTGGCTCCAGGCAGATGGGGTTATGTGTGCTATCACTAGACTGCTTTTGAGGTTAGTTGAAGGATATCTCTATGGACTAAGTGGGAATTTTTGCTTTTCAGGAAGAAGAGATGCCAGATGTAGAAATTGACATTGATGACCTTCTTGATGCAGCCAATGAAGAGGAGAGAGCTCTCAAATTACAGGTAGTATTATTTTCTAATTTTCAATCAGAATGTAGCTGAATTAATGCATCTGGGTCCATATCTTTGATTGAATCCACTGTAAGTGTAGAATGAGAACTGAGAGGTTCCTAGGTCTGAGTTTAGCATAATCTACTGGACTGTACAAAAGTAATCAAAATCCTTTAGGATAAAAAATTTCTGGAAGGTAGGTGATAACAGGAGTAAATAAAAGTTCAAAGAATCCAGTAATATAGGGAGATATGCTGAAGCAGATTAGACTCATTCTTATTTTTACAAGTATATAAAATAAAGAACAGAAAACATAAGAAAATAAAGAACAGTCATGTAGAAAAATTATGTGGCTGAGAGTCAGTTATGATGACTGGATAGTTTCTGTGATTGACTGCAGCAGCAATATACATGCATGCATATACAGACCAGAAATCCTCCCTTGTCCTTAGGATACTGGAAACTTTGTTCCTCTGTCTATACTACCTAGAAATTGGAACCCATCAAGTTACCATCGAGTTATCTTGGAGTAACTTGTCTAAAAGCTTGAGGAAAGGATAAGATGGTCAGCAACAGGAATTAGTAGGGAAATTCAGAAGCTGTCTGCTGAAATTATACAATTCAAACCAGCTCTCTAATTCTCTGAATCCTGCTTGAGGTAAAAGCTAATGAATGGAAGAATGAGGGGGAGAAGAAAAGAAACATCACTGTCTTAGTAGAGATACATATATCTAAATCAAGATATAAAACCAATATGAGGGTCTCTGTTCATAATCTTTTCAGATGCACTAAAGGAAGGAAACCTGTCCCAGAGCAGTGGTTTGCCCTCAGCTCACTTCTGGGAGGTGACTAACCAGTGCTTAGATGCACCACATCTGATGGCAGTGCCTATTGGCACCCTTTTCTCAGTGCTCACTGCCCAGCCACAGAGACATGGGGTGTAGCCCCAGGCTATTTACTCAGCATTCATAAATAGCTTTGCTGCTTCTGCCTAAACTAGCTGCTCCAGCCACCCTGCTAGGAATGCCCGACCTAGCTAAGGTTTGTATTTCTGCATTACAAAGACTGTGGTGCTCTCACAGAAAGCTACTTTTCACATGTGTATTGCTGGGAGAAATGTCCTTGGATTCTCCTCTTCTCAGTTTTTCTTGGAGAGAGGGATTTTGTAGCTTCCAACCTGGAGAAAGAAGCCATCATTTCTCTCCTGTTGCAAATCACTCTGATCCACCTAGGGAGCAAAGGTGACTTACTATAACGCTCGGTTTTCAGTGGCATCTTCATCCAGTGATTCCTGGTTCTTGCTCCTTTTCTTTCCCCACTCCCTTGCCAGGTTTCATACTGTAGACTTGTTTATGTTCACTGTTATTCTGTATTGGAACTGACGCTTTCGTATTTTGCTTCTAGGAAACTCTTGTAGATTGCTACAAACCAACAGAGGTAAAAAGACTTTTCTTAAATACTATTCATGTGTGGAAAGTGTAGCTATGTTCAAATTAAAGTAACTTTTTTATACTTATAATAAAGTAAATATAGGAATATTAATAGGGAGCTGATGGGCTTGGGACTTTATCCTGGGAATGTTTGTGCCTGTCACTTGACTATAGTAGGAACAGGACTGGGTCCTGTGGAGGAACTGCTGATCATTCCAGCTGAAGTATCAATATTGTCTTCAGTAATGTCCTTATTGACTTGACTGATGCTTAAAGCTGTTGTGTTACAAGAGAACTAAACACAATTCTCATCAGATTGTTAAAACCCTACTGTATCTGCATGAAATACCAACTCGAGAGATGGACTGTGTGCTCTTCAACATTGAAGCCATTTAATTTTATCTCTGACAGTAAAATTGTTTGTTCTGGGAACTGTTATGTAGATATGCAGCTCAGCTAATTGTTTTTGTGAATGGACTTGAATACAATCGTGGTATAACCTGAATTAGCAGGATTTAGTTAAAAGTCCTCAACTTTCAACTTGAATATCCATTAACGTGTCCAGTGCCAATATAGCCTACTTCTCATATAGTAATGTGTGCTTACTAGGAAGAGTAAATATTGTAACAAAAACTTGGACTCATTTAAAAAAAAAAAGTGTAGTTTGGGTCAGTTTCTTGGTTCAATTTATAAAGTCAGTGCTTTCCCGCCAGTGGCTGCTGTGCAGTATTTAGAGTGGGTGGCTTACAGGATTCCCCTAATCAGGGATCTTTCAGCTGCACATGACTAGAAGCCAGGTGTTTGGTTTTTGAAACAAGGCTGCATATAGCTTGGTTCCTCTAACATCTGTAGCTGTAGCCACTTAAACTACTGGGGCTTAAGGATAGTCAGGCTGTCAGGAAGAACCACTGGTACGGTTAAATAGACACCTCCCTGTCCATCAGATACTTTCTTCAGGGCCTTTCCATTTTTATTGACTCCTGTGGTAGATTGGGAAAGTTCTCCAGAATTGCTGTTACAGTTGCTGGTACTAACTTTTTGACAGTGCAGGGAATTGACCCAGAAAGACTTGCATGATAACACTTGTATAGCTTGGTCTGTGTTGCACCTTGGTTTCTTTACAGCAGATAACACACATCTCCCATTATGGAGATGCCAGGCCAAAAAAAATCAAGTCTTCAGATGTCTCACTGTAGTAATGCTACGCTACAGATGACCCCTGTCAGCCTCCTCCAGCCTTCTCTCAGCAAATGCTGTTGAACCTTAGTTCTTCTTTGTAAGATAGGTGTGTGAAGACTGATGTGGCATGTGGAGCATGGTTCTTCTCACAGGCTAGTGAGAGAATGTGAGGGTCATGAGTGGGTGGGAGGAACAGGTTGCCAAGAGTTTAGCAGCCACTCATGTGCTGACCTCTTATCTCTGTTATCTGAAGGTGGATGAAGAAGGCAGAGAATCAAATAATTTCCCTTCTTCCTCCTTCATTGAATATGTAATATGAATTATTTTTCTTAGCTCTGAAGCTTGACATTTAATGCAAGGACAAATTTCAGAGCTCTGATAAGGGTACGTGACAGATGTTAGTGAGTTTTCACTTGGAAACCTTGGTCATAGAACTGCAGCAAATATTTGTGCCGGTAAATTAAGTTGGCATGGCAGTTCACAGGAAACATCATCCTGGACACGTGTGCTCGATTGCCCTCAAGGCACTTGGATCAAGGTGAGATTTAATACTGAACTTGTGACTTGTCTCTTCAGTCCTCTGCTGATGGGATGGAGGTAGCTCATTTACCTGGGAGAATGTCCATCTTCCGTGACAATCTTTTGAGATGGCCAAGTTGAGAGGAGTTACTTAATCCACTTTTCCGTGAGGGTAGTTGCCAAAATAGGAGTCATTTCCCAGGACTGTTTTCACAACAGCAGCTTTTCTTCTTCATCTGTAGCATAAGCCCAGTAATACGGCATGACTGCTAACATAGGCCACTTAAAAATAGTGATTTCTCCCTTTTTTTTTTAAGCTGCCATGTGTGGACTAAGAAGAGCCTTTAAGTTGGCTTAAACTTGCTATGTGAGGATCCACACTTCATCTAGAAAATCTGCAATCCTTTCATATTTGCAGACCATTCAAAGCTATTGAGGTAATTGGTTTGTGAAAGGATTTCTAGAAGATTTGTGGTGAACGGATGTGAGCTGATGGAATTTCTCCTGACCAATCAAATACAGTCAATCAAGTGCACTAGGGATTTTAGCATCAAGAGTTATACAGTTTGCAAAAGGCAGTAAACCCTAACTGGGGAAAAATTATGTAATATGATGTCTCCACTATTCAGAACATAAGGAAAAATAGTGCAGGCAGAAAGCTTAATAACTTGAAGCTCTTACCCCATCTGTTTAAAAAAAAAAAACAAACAAACAAACACCAAACCAACCAACCAAAAAAAAAAACCCCAAACCCAAACGTGTATCTTAAGTCAGTGTTGCTTAGTGTCTTCCACTTAGACTAAAGGTTAAGGAAAGACTGAGGGATTCTTGCATGTATTCTGGATTGACTTTTCATCAGAAGAAGCAGAGTTATCCAGGTCACTGGAAAGGTGGAAGGAATTCTCAGCCTCTAATAAATTGGCCAAAGGTAGTAGCTGACAGTAACTTATGAGGAACTGCTATGAAACCTTTATTCTGAGGCAAATATAGCTAGACTGTTGAATGTGCTCCAAAATTTTAAAAACTTTTCTAAGGTAGCAGTTACGGCCATTGTTTTAATTTGTATGGAAATATGCTTAATGTGGGAACCTTCTTGTAAAGAGCTGTGTAGTTTACCCGAACAAGGCAACTAAAGGTTAATCAGGAAAGTGCACACAGTCAGTATGACTTTTTTGGGTGCTATTTAAGTTTACGTTAATGATCCTTAAATTAAAATGTTGATTTGCTAATCAAGATTCATATGCAATGTGACTGTGTCATTCAGTCATTAAAAGTTAGTTTTGTAAATTGTGCCAGAAACTAAAAATAACTTCTGGGCACAATTTGCCAACTTGGCTGTTTTGTAGAAACATAATAATTAAAAAAAAAAAAAACAGTGGCTAAGAGATACATTTGGTAACTAGCAAACTGTAAAGTATGTTTTCATTGGTGTTCATCACTGCAATATGTGACTTGTATTTATTATATTTCACATCCTTTTACTTGAGCCACAATCTCCTTGCTCTGTGTTGTGAAGTAGCACTTGTTGAAGAGAAGTTGAGTAGCTACCTGACTCAAGGCATAGGCTTTGGGATCTCAAATGTGGACAGTGTTTTGACACATGATGATGGTCTTCCCACCATGCAAAATTAAACAGTGCTAGAAGTATTCTTCAGACAGTTTACACTTTCTCTGCTTCCCCTTCTCTCCTGTTACTATCATACCTAGTTCAAAAGTGGTACATGCCACATAGTCTTGACATAAGACAAGGCTTGACATGAAAGAACAGCAATTCATTTTTAGGACTGCACAGACTTAAAGGGTATGCTATCGGCAAAAGCAGTGCCATAACCAAATCTCGGACCTGAACTTCTGTGGTTGAAAAGGAGCAGGGAGCAGCATCCTCCTCCTGCATCATCCATGTGCCAGAGCAGCCGGTGCTTCACGCAGTGTAATGCGTCGTGTGTGGAAAATCCCACCCAGACCTTTATCAAGTTGCTGTCTCGATTCTGTCTATGCGATGGAGAATTTTAATGTAGGTCACAGGGAATTTTGAGTTTCATGTTAGCAGTGAATGTTACAAAGAAATTTAAATATAATCTGTAATCTTGATGATAGGGTTTTGATATCTCTTATTTAGAATAGGAAGACTGTTGTGGGCATGAAATCAAGGAAGTTTTGTCAAGACACATACTCTGAAGGAAGCTGGCTAAATCTCTGTTATTGTATCTCTGCTGTTGGTAGCAGCAAGACCACCCATTTAGACTGGGCTTTGGAGAAAATCTGGAATATTTGTGGCTGATGTGAATTAGAGCTTCTGCTGGTGGGACTGCCAAAGTCATGACAGCAGAAATGACAAGGAGACTCTTAAACTACTGTGGGAGAGAAATCCAATGAGTGGGCGATTTTTGTTTACTGACTCTGCAGGATGTAGTTGAGCTACACAATGTCTGCAGATAACTAATCTTTGAAGAAAACTAGATAAATTAGATTTGGGGTTTCTTTGCTTCTTTCTTTTCTCATAGAAATATACAGAGCTTCAGGCGAATGGGCTAGACATCTCTCCCACTTAGGCAGGATTAAATCTATCTAGACTATCTTATTAGTATAATTCTTCGCTCAGTGCAAAATAGGAGAAAAAGGAGATGAAGTCGCATCATAAAAGAAGGTTATTCTGCTGGTAACTTTTAATAACAATTTTCAATATAATTCCCAAACAAACTATGTTAAATTGCTGTGCATATTCCCTGGAGAATTTGGGCAGAGATTTAAGTCCCTGACTACTCAGTTACTTCAGTGGCTGGACTATTTCAGCATCTTTTAACACTTTAATTTTGAGAAAGGTAGAGATGTATTTGCTTAACTACATTTTTCTCCAAATTTAATTCCTAGTTGCAGCAAATGACAGGCTTGTGATGCAGCGTTTTAGAGTGGTCCAAGCACTGTGGTTTTTAAAACTAAAAACTATTTTGAGTATGTCTTCAGATAATGTATGTACTCGGTATGCAGATATGAATATAAAGCTCAACCCTTCTGAAATGGTACCTTTAAAATTTTGAAGGGTTATATTTTTTTTGGTCCTGCTATGTTATGAATTCTTTCAAATTCATTTTACTATTTGTTGTATAATATAATTGCAAGGCAGCAATATGTAGGATACCCATTCGAAGCAATAGTAACTAAAGGTGTGTCCTGAAGCCTCAGTGCAGTGTACCGCCATACATCTGGGGGAGTGTAGAAGCTCAGATGTTTATTGCAGCTCAGCTGTTGGGTGGTAAATTATTAAGCCACAGTAACTGTATTATGTGTCCATATTACTTGAAATCAAATAGGGCGCTTTGTAGAGAAAAAAATTAAGAAGCATATTTAAAAGCAATGCAGACAGAGGCATTTCTAGAAAAACATGGTTTCTTGTTCATCCATTTGACCACTCTGAATTCAGTGAACTAAATCTGTTTATACGCCTGCTGAGATTTGCCCTATATTGTACTACAGTGTTGGAGGGAATTAAGCTTGCATGTGTTTGTTTCAGGAAGTACTCATGAATACAACTTATAAATACCCATAGCAATATTGTAAGAATAGAAGAGCAAATGGTGATTTGACAAGAATAAGCTGTGCTTGTTTGTGCTGCTGAATTGGAGAATAGCTGGACTGCATGTCTTGACCATAGCTAAGCGTTGTGGTATTTGGTCAATGCCTTGTATAGGGCTCACCGAGAAGATAAATTGCTGTGTATTGTCCTCCCCTGGGCACTGATGGGGCCATGGCCTCACTGGAGGGGCCGTACTAATGGGATTGTTCAGTGAAGCCACAGAGATGCTGCACCAGTTCTTGCTAATAGAAGGCAGCTTCTGGCCTGGTTTTCCCGAAGCATCTACGCCTCGTCAGTTCCCTTCTTCCCGTATGATCAGCTTCAGATTTGAGCCTGTGGGGAAGGGAAGGTGATGGCAGTAGGGTTCCCTCTTCTTCCTTTTTTTTTTTTCCTTCCCATTCTGATGGCATTTTTGAGCTATTGTTTAGTTTCTTCTCCAAGTAGCTGTGGAGATTGCTCTCCAGGCTGACTTTACTTTTTGCATCCAACCAGTCAGGCTCTCTCCAGGAAATAGCCTTGGGCAAGCAGTCAAGGAAATTTTGATTTTTGACTTGGCTGCAGGGAAGTAAAGCCGTGGAGGAAAGCTGGTTTAGGATTCATTTCATGCTCTAGTGAAGCAGGAGGACTAGAAACCCTACATTTTGGTTTAAGAACTAGTCCTAGTACATGTGTACTGTTTGTGGAAGAGAAATCTGGAGAGACAGACTCTAATTAGTCTCCAGAATTAATTGGAAGACTTGAATAGGAAGCCTCAAATTCATTGTCTGTCAAATGACCTCATTAAAACAATGAATCACACCTCCAAAGCAGAAAGGTGAAATGATTTCCTCCTCTTTCCTGAATTATCATTTCACCTTTGTTTGTCGTCTTTATTTTTTTTATTCTGCATTAGATGAATGCTTTTGCTGAACGGAATGCCTTTGATTCAAGGGAAAGCATTAGAGAAGGGAGAAGACAAATGCCTAAGGCTTAATATAGATGAGTTCAAATGAACTATAGATTTAGTCTGTCTCATTTAAATTTGCCTTTAGAATTAGAAAAACATCTTCTAGAAACAATGATTTTGTATTATAAATTAACAGGACTCTCAATAGTTGTAACAAAACTCTATTTAAAGGTGGCCTCTTTGCAGAAAATCTGCAAAAAGAATTTAAACTGAGTTTGTGTACATTTTTTTTTTCCACTTACTAAGGTCTGAAGTGCTGGTATGAGATTTTTCTTTTAAAAGTAGATGTGACCTGTGTATTTCTGGCTGTAGCTCTCCAAGAATAAGTCTTAAGTTCTTGAATCTTTAGCTGAATTATTAAATGTTTTCCAACTCTGTGAATTAAATAAGTATTATATAAGTAGATAATCCAACCTGTGTTACAGAACTACTTTTAGCATAGATTGGTACATGATCAGCTTTCAAATGCATGATGCTAAACTTTAGCATATCTTCTAGAGGGGTTTTCAAGAAAATGCTCTATGTAAAATGATTTTTGTGTATGAGGTTGAGATAGATGTGGATATTAAGCCTTCTATTAAGCCTTGACTCAGATGTCCACAAGGAATAAAACTGCAATTTTTGAGTGATGTTTAAAGAAAACAAATGGGTATTGCTGTATGTCATAAAGCTGAGTCAGTTATAAAGTGAAGGCTTACTGAAATTCTGTCTCCTTTCCTGCCTCCAAGAGGGAAAATGTGCATCTTTTCTAGAATGCCGCCTTTCCTTGATGGGGAGCTGCAAAACAAGCAAGGTGCAAGCACTGGAGCACAGCTGTGTTAATGACAGCTGGCTCCATGCAAGCATCAGATGCAAAATGATACTTAAATCAGAAAAGTACTGAACCAATGCTGTAGTTTGCACACCCACAGGATGTGCACAACAGCACTACTGCATTATGTAAAATGTCTACCACATACAAAATGCTCTTGTTTTACTGTTTGGTACTGCAGACACTTATTTCAAGAAAAATAGTTCCTGAGGGGTAAAGCATTTTCAATTATCACATGTACTTCTTCAAGTGAATACAGCTCCCTTCCCCTTCCTTAAGAACAGCCTCAGTTACCTCAGATCTGGTTAGAGGATTGCCCCTACAGTTTGGTTTATTTTGGTAAAACTAAGAAGCTTCTAGGAGGTTTTAATATTGAAAACCTCAAGCAAATATCTTATTTTACAAAAGAAGGTGCTTGTGGTACCGCTTCAGAGTATAAGGGGAGGAACTCCCCTCCCTTGCTGTAATGTATTGAAAAGCAACTGACCCCTGGGCTGCATTTCATATCCAAGGGAAACTTGCTCCAAATCCTTCTGAATTGTGGGAAAAAATGGACAGAGAAATGGTAGAGGTGCCTTTCAAACAGGGATATCCCAAATGGGTACAGTCAGAGTACCATAGAATTCCCTGTCCACTCTGCAGATGCCCCTTCCTGTAATGCTCTTACTTTTGACTTCTGTGAATTAGTTGGACAGTTTCCAGCTGCAGTGTCTTGTTGCCGCCTTGATGGCGAGTGAAGGTGGTGTAGAGTATTTGTGGCTTTAACAGATGAATAATAGTCATTCAAAGGGAAGACTGAACTTCAGCCTGTTCCTTCCCAAAACTGTCTTAATCTGATGTTTTGGCATGGGAGCATAGGTTTTTATGGAAAGAGCTGTTGAAAGGCAATATTAATTGCATTAATCCCAAGTAAAAAATCTTTTAAGATCACTTTAGAGTTTTATTTCTGTAATGATTTCACTGCAGGGCTTCATTTAAGTTTGATAGTAAAAAATACTAAAGTGTATTTAGGATGTGTTGAACAGCACCATGCCACATTAGTTTTGCATTATCTAGCAGGTCTTTACAATGATGAAAGGGTAACACAGAATCAATGCATAGTGCATTGAAAGCTGTGAATTTTTAGAGTAAACCTGTCTCCCTCCTTTTTCTGACCTCTAAATAGATAAGTACTGTACTCTGACAAGTTGAGTGGATATTGTTGCAGTGGCTTGTGCCTATGTGGAAAAGGACGGCTTCTAAAAGATGGAGGGGGATGATTTGGGGTCTTAACAAATCTGCTTTTCCGATCATCTCTCTAGGCTATCTGTCTATCCAGATGGGAAGCGCAATATTGATATACATAGATGTATTCCTGTACTGGCCTTGATCTAGTTAGTTCAGGAGTGGAGGCCAGAACATACAAGGCTTTTGGTGAGCCTTTGTAGCCCACGCTGAGGTGTATGCTGCTCTGCCTTTGCTGCTGTTAGTTGAAGCCACAGCTAGTATGGGTGCAACGATAACCATGGTGCAAAAGTACATGCAGTACAGTATAGACGTGCATAAACTGTCAGGAAAGGAAATTGCTCTGCTGAGGAGATACCTGCCAAGATTGTGGTCCCACCAGAAAAACCTGACATATTTCTTAAGTTAAAGTACACATTTACAGAGACTTTCCTTATGCACAGTGTAGCACCTGGATAATATATGTTTCAATGTGACTTTTTGGAAAGGTACTGCACCACTTAGGTGGTGACCTTGTTCACTGGAATCTTTAGCCTCAAGCATTCAGCTAGGAAGTCACACTTTTTGTACTTTCACATCAACCTGACTGACTAAATCCATAATTACATTCCATGTTTACAGATAAATGATTTCATGATAAGAACCTTTTTGTAGGTGTATACATAGTACTATGGGTAAACATTATTCTCCCAATGTGACAGTAAGGGGGTGATTTAGCTTTTAATGCATCTGCAGTTGTTATAAGAAATTGTATACCCAAAGGATTTCAGATAATGGTACAACTCTGTAAGTTTCTGTTCTCCCACAATTTAAAAAGAGAAACTCATCAAACTGGGGGAAATATCACTGTGAATAAAGACCTTGTCCATGAATGAATATATATATAATTTTTTTTTTTTTTAGAATGTCATTCACTGAGCTCCACAACCAGTTTCACCCAGCATAAGCTAGTGGTGCTACCTCTGGCTCCTTATTCCTGCCTTGCCTCAGACTGGCACGAGTGGTGTGGGGCTGAGTGGTAAGCCTGGTTGGAGAGCTGAGCCAGCTTGGAAAGTAGCAGGGCAAGAGGAAAAACAGCTGAGTTTTTAGCCAGATTGGCTTTCTGTTCCAGCTGAGTATGCAGCCAAGCAAAATGCTAGTGCCGGCATAGAGAGTGATGAGAGAAACACCTCTTTTGGCAGGAGTGCTGATTTTCTGTGCAGGCTTAAACTGTGAAAGTCTGCTTCAACTATTTGTGTTGTATCCAGCCATAGATTTTGCTTGATTCAATAGTTGGTAGAAGGCCCTGTGTAGTAAAAGCCTGAAAGATGGCTAGCGACTGAGCCTGAACACTCATGCAGAGGAAAAGCTAGTTGTTCACACCTCCGCTGTGTGATGAGAGCATGCATATAAGGTTCCTGGAGATCAGGCCAGAGAAATTCCAGCTTAGCAGTAAAAGCTTAAATGAAAATGTATAGTTTGCTTTGATTTTTTTTTAAATTCAAAAGCATGGTATTATGGGATCATAAAAATTACTCATTTTCTAATCTTTTTTCCTAGGAATTTATCAAAGAGCTGCTAACTCGGATAAGAGGAATGAGGAAACTCAGTCCCCCTCAAAAGAAGAGTATATAAATAACTCAAAGTAGTAGCACTCTGTAAAAGACATGGCAAGGGAAATAGGACTTTGAATACAAGACCTTTATTAAAATAGTTGTCTTTCTCCACAAGTTTGATTTTATTCAGTTTTGACTCAAGGAATTTCTTTTGTGTGTTTTAAGGGTTCTTTTTTAAGTGTCAATTTTTTAAATCAAGAATATCAACAATTTGGATGCTGCTCAACTTTCACTTGAGGATTACTGAAGCAAGTGAAGAATCCAAGAGTTAGTGATGAGGGGCAGCAAGCCTACGTGGTGAACCAGAAGACCCTGTAAATTTACAGAGCTAGGAGACTTCTCCATGCAACTAGTTGGATAACGTTTTTTAAGTTGGTTGTACATTTAACTCATGGGTGTCAAGTTTCTTGTGCTTGTCTGTACATAAATTATAAAGTGGGTTGTGAATACTGTTTCACATGGATGGAAGGAAAAGTTTGTTACAGTAAATTATTTAAACGGTGGTTATTGCAAATTTGCTACCAGAAGGTACCAATTTAAATTACTAAAATGAGTGCTGCCATTTTTCTAAATACCCTTAAAGCAGCCCAGTGAAGAATTTCATCATATCTCCTTGTTTAGACTGCAGCATAGGAGAATTGGGAATTTTAAGGGCTTAATTTGTAGACTTAGAGTTATTTGCTTGACTTTGCTTTGCCACATCATTTCCTCTCCACCTCATGGTGTCTTGGAACTGTGGTAACCTATACTGAATAAGGGCCTGCAGTGATATCTAGAGAAATGTCTGTCGCTGTTTAAAAGCTGCTTCACAGTGGAGGAAAGGCAATGCTACCAAAATGAATTACAAGCACTGTCTTGCATTTAGTGATGTGGTCTTAATCGAATGCAGATTCCTCTCCTATTAAGGTAGGCAAAGAATATTATAGTCTCTTTGTTTATGGCTCTGCCCTGAGAAGCGGGGAGACTTCTTCACTTGGGCTCTCTTACTTGTAAAAGCAAGAACAGAAGAGAGATCCCTGCTCCCTCCTGGAAAATGTCCGAACTAAAATGTTCAATAAGCTACCACATGCTGGTAGGTGACACTAGTCAGGCATTTTATATCAAGGATGCTCTGAACATATTTTATTTTTCAAAAGAAGTACATGTTTGTGAATTTTATGTATACTGGCAAGCTTTTTTAATGTATTTAATTTTGTAATGTTTACCAATGATTTTATTTACCAGATATTTACTCAAATAAATGGAACAACTTGTGACTTGTTACATGTACACTTTACAAGACTACTGTTGCTGAGTAAGTTGGTAAATGAACTTGCTCATCAGAAAGAGAAGCCGGTGAGGCGGTAAGTACACGGGAATCCAGCTGTATAGACCCTAACTGGTTTTTAATGTGCAACAAAAGCCCTTGCCCAGTATCACTCAGCCAAGCTCCTGTAACCTGGTGCACAGCCTCACTTTTGAAAGTCTTCTGCAGATGAGGCCTTGCTTCCCTGTGCCCTGGGGGATTTAAAAAGGAAAAAAAAAAATCCTGGAAATTCTTTCAGATAAATGCTACTGCTTCCTTTTTTTTTCCTTCCACCAGAGTCGGGAGTAGGGGAGGGCTTACACTGGGTGACGGTTCTCTACTGAAGATGTGGCAGAAGTGTGTCTTTCAGCAAGAGACACTCTACCTTTCTTTCCTTCTGCACCCCTCTGAATTCTCCTCAAGAAATTCCAGCAGCCCTAAGAAAAGACTTGGTTGTTTTGCCTGCAGCATCTTAAATTTAAATCTTGTACCTTGCTGAAGTTGCAGTTCAGCTCTGCTATCCTAAGGAGTCTTCCAGCAAAATCTTTTAAAATTGTGAAGTGAAACCTGTGCTCCAGGGAAATTGGGGTGGGGGAGCTTGTGATTTCATCTCTTTCTGTGTTGGGATCTCCCACTATTGTTATCAGTGGAATGTCTCTGGTTCTGAAAGAGGTGCATGTGAATGACCTCTCTTGCCACAAGGAGATTCTCTCCTTGGTCTGTGCTCCTTGCAGAGGATCTGATGTAGCTAGATCTAAATGACCAAGTTTGGATCAACATCACCCTTTGAAGGAGAGAGTTACAGGAAAAAGTTACAGGAAAAGCTTCCTTAACTCCTGAGGTAAGGGGCCTTTTGTTAGATTTTTTTTTTTTTTTCACTCAAATCTGGAGGCAGGGGGCCTTTTGTTAGATTTTTTTTTTTCACTCAAATCTGGAGGCAGAAATCAGTGGTATTAGTAAAGAAGCCTTAGTTACTAGCGAACTTCTGATGTTTGACTAGGCAAGTACTTTCACAGGCCTTTTTCTGGAAAGCCTGTTGGTTTGTAAACCATTGAGAGCCTTTTGTAAGCACCAAGTTTATTATGTCCAAAATGGGAAAAAAACCCTTTTGATTTGAGACTTGTTAGCAATGTTTAGAGTTTTGAGTTGGTGTCTGAAATGCTGTCTGCTCATGGGTACTGCTCCCTGACTGATAAATTTATTCATGTGCATTTAACACGTGGGCTGAAACAACTGAGAGCATGCAATACACCTTTTCAATTTCTGAGGTAGTTATAACTGCCTACGTTTTGCAGGTGATATTTAGAAACATCCTCAAGTCTGAACATAAAGGTTCTAGTAATTTCCACATCAACAAATGCACTTTGACTTCACTTGCAACTGCAAATATAATTTTTTTTTCTTCCTTTGTAATAATGGTGTGCAAAATCAGCAATGTCAAATAATGGCAACTGCACCAGTTCTCTCTTACCTCCTACAGCAAAGTGCTACTCCACAGATATTTTTTCCTCATGTTACTTGGCTAAAAAAATGCCTGCCCAATTGTGTGCATCACCCATTTATGTCTTTAGTCCCATCCCTCTTGCATTGAAGTAGCTGTGGAAAATAGCAGTCTACCCCTTCTGAAACCAATTGGTTTGGTAATACGCTTAGAGACAATGAAGTTTGGGGCAGTCCTTACTATTTTCTTGTCTTGTGTGGATGGGACAGTCAGTTCTATGAAGGGCTTCCTCTCCTCCTGCTCTATGTTTTACTATCTTACAAGTGTCAGTGAGCAAAAACAAACTCTAGCTTTTGTTTGTAGCTGGCATGATCTTCCTGGAGATTTACAGGGTCTCATTCTCTCTACCCTCTACTTAATGGAGATACTCTTGGCCTTGGTGTAAGTGAAGGGAGAATTGACCAATTCACTTAAGATTTCATTGTGCTTTATGTCTTTATACTGTGTGGGTGTTCTTGGCTCTGGGCAATATTCAAGGGGCATATCAATAGCACACTGTTACTGAAACAACTTGAAATTACATCTTACAGTCCAGGCTCTTCTCTGCCTTGGCCAAACAGCTTTCATGTGAAGGGCCAAGTCTGGCTGTAGTGAGAGCTTACTCTGGGCTTTTAAAGTGGCTAATGAAAGGAACTGAAGTTCCCTCTTATAAATATGTAGAGAAGCTGAGGGTTTTTTTGGTATTGAAGTGCCTCTCCAGTGTACAAAGATTGCCCGCAAGAGCGCATGTTTCTGGGGTCTGCTTCATGGCATAATTAGCCTTTGCATGTTTTACAGCAGGAGCTGACAGTGTGATGTCTCCTGTCATTGATCTTCCAGTTGGCTTAAAAAGAGGAGGAAAGTGCTTGTAATCATATTTAGTGTGCCTTGTGAGGCTGCCGTGACAGGATAGTGTATTCCTGTGGCACAGAAGAAAGATGAGCCATTCTTCTGCCAGCCTTGGTTTTGTCCCTTCCCCTCATTATTCCTATGGTGGGTTTTACTCCTAAAGTTGCCATTCATGCAGGGAACATCTGGGGAAAATGTGAGAGGGAAGCTTTCCCTATTGTCAGAGAACATGTCCCAGAAAAGCAGGAGCAAAATATCTGTTCCTTTTGTGTACTTCAAACTCTTTGACACTGAGTCTTGGTAAGAGCCTTTAGCACTTTACCCTGGTAGGTATAATTGCATATGTGAAACTGGAATTATTCAGCAATCTATTTCTATGATGGTTTTGCTGATTTAAGACAGCCTTAATGTAAACACGCCCCTCTAGGGGGAAACAAAAAATCATGTGGGCCACATCGGCAGAGAGCCTGTTGCTTGGAAACTGGAAGAAGATACAGGTCTCATTCTGAACAAACAGTTGAACTTATAGCACTTCACCAAGAGTTTAACAAAAAAATTAATTGCTTCTTGGCTACATAAGGTTTAAACTCTTGGTGAAGTGCTATAACAAAAGGATTAATTGCTTCTTGGCTACATAAGGTTTACCATTGCCAGCATCATGCACAGATGGTAAACAGGTACTGAATAACTGCGTGAAATGCTTTTTAAAGGATGTTGAGGTTTTGGGAGGGAGTCAGAAAAGAAATCAAGTATCGGGAAGTCTAGAAAAAAAAATCACTAAGAAAATTACTCTGTTACATGTTTAGCTATTAAGAAAACAGAAGAGTCTTGCTTTGCTGCATATATTTCTGTATGGGAAGAAAATGAGAGATGTAAGGGTTTTCATGTATTGGAGAAAAGCATAAGGAGGAATGCCTGGAAGAAGGAAGGAAACTTCGAGAGTGGAAGAAGATAGAGCACCTTGATGGTTGAGGATGAGGAGCCCTGTGAGCCTGCTACTGAGGGAATAGGTAAGATCACCATCTATTAGTATACTCAAATTGAAATTGGATGCTTTTCTAGGTAAGTTCTCATTAGATGAGTTATTCAGTTCAGTCAAGATAATTAAGGGCCTTAGAACTCTGGACCTCTGCTTCAAATTTTTTCTAGAGTTGTGTAAAGCAGAAGAAATGGTAAGAAACTGATTCGTATGTTTAGGTATTATGCTTATGTAGTGGTCAAATCACCTGTACCAGTTACAGATACTATGTGTAACTCTACTCCTTTTTACTTGACTTCCATGTTACTTCGCCTTTCTTTTACTTGGCAGTAAGCAAATGGTAAGTGTGAATGTAATTACAGTTGCTACTGAAAGCCAGAGAGAAATTGAAGTGAAGAAGAGAAAATGTGCCTAGAAAGTACCTACTGCTGCAAAATTTATTCTTGCCATTTTAGGACTGTGCCAACAGCATAAATACAGTGTTTCTGAAGTTTTGAAATGGCTATGTATAATAATCTTACCTAGTACTGATGGGATTTTTATCTGCTTTATTTTTTTTGGTAGAACTAATGACCAAATTCTCTGAGCTATTAGCTTACACTACTCTACTTAGACTCTTGTGTTTTCCAACAAAAATTAACATTAGCTATTTAAAATTAAAGAAACCGAGCTATTTGAAAACTTATTTTTTTTAAAAAATGTATTTAAGACTGAAACTTCTTTTGGAGGAGCAGTTAGCAGGTTTTGTTTGGTAGTAAACTTAAATGTCTTCTCTCACTGCATTGGTATTTATTTAGTTGATTTCCCCCCCAGGTTCAAAATAAAAAATATCCTGGGATAGCCCTTAGCAGAGGTTTCAGTCTGATTGACTAACTGTATAATACTGGGTTGGACTTGAAGGAAATAACTAATTACCAAAAAATATAGGAGGTGATCCACTTCAAGGACGCAGACTTGCCTGACAACCCCCTCTGGGGGGCAGGGGGGGACAAGAGCACAAGAAGCTCTCCACCTCCTACGTGAGGACCCTACATCAGTGTCAACAAGGCTCCAACTCTTGCCCTGGCTTTGTGGATGGGTCTGTGTCCCCTCATGTAGCCCATAGTCATACTGGGGCTTGTGGGACTTGGAGCAGTGAGTACTATCAGATATATGAAGAATTAGAGCATGCAGGTCTATGACAGGATTGTGCTTATCCAGGCTCAGTGTATCCCTTTGTGTTGCTTGACCTGAGGCAAAACCAGGTCTGAATAACCTTTATTTAATATACTGATCTATAGCAAAGAGGGAATCCCGATAGGGATGATATGTTGAAACTCCCATCAATATCTGCTGTCTCCCAGTAAAAGAAGCCAATTTGTGACAGTGGTGGCTGTGCAGACCCTGCAGGCAGCTCTCACCACAGCTCTGTCTGAACCTGGCTTTGGGTCAGGGCCTGCTTTCCTATTTGTTTGTGCAGCCTCTACTACTGCAGTAAGTAGCAGGTAGCTTCGTAAAGCAAATGAAAAGGCTTCAAGAGATGCCTCAGACTTGTCCAGCAACCAGTACAGAGTCAGAGCCATGTCAAGACTACAGACAGTGTGCCATGATGGTGCTTGAGACAAAGGCACTAGAACTGGCTTACTGTGGTAGGCTGGATAGGTAGGCTTCAGGTGTGTCCTAAGAGTTGCTACAAC